ATATATATATATATATATATATATATATATGTAACACTAATCTTAACGGATACAGCTCGATGGAATCCAGACCCGAGCAAAACCTTTTCAAACACGTACACCACGTCAAAGCCTGCCCAAATCGCTGTTTCTTCCAGCTGAGACCAATGTCTGCAAATAGCGCACGGTAAGGCAGACGTTGTTCAAGGACGTACCCAAGCCACTCAAGAAAATGCACTGAAGTGGTTTTCCTCGGTATAAATCTATCTGACCTTAGCCCAACAACGATTATCGAAGACGGATAATCGTTAGTCGTGATCTTCTCAGGGAGTCCAAGGTTTACAGCTGTAGAGCAACGCGATGCGTACCATTGAGCAATATACATGCCCTTTCAGTAAAGGGGCTAAGTTGTACCGATGCCAGAGATTTTGCAGATCAGTAAATACGAATCCAGCTTTGATTAGGCGTTGAGAGATCTATTCAACCACACCTATTCGCCTATTTGCCTATTTGCAACTCCCGAGGTAGACAAAGCTTTCCACTACTTCTATCGCTTATTTTTACCAAAGAAGTTGCAGTAACCGGTTCCTGCAAATCTTGCAACTAAACCTTGCACATCAGAGGCGCAAAGTATATAAGATGACGAGCAAAATCAATTGCCAAAGGACTTAGTCTGCTTTGAATCATCAATGCATTGCCACCGAGTAAGGCCAGATCGTCGGTACAATCTCAGTCCAGCCCCCTATCTCGGGGAAGAACCTGAATGATAGTATTGGTTATGATGAGTACCGCGTTTTGCAGAATACAATCTATGACAAAGTTGAAGAGACACAGAAAGATAGGTCAACTCTGTCTTATCCCAGTGGTGATAGAAAATGTGGGTAAGGATTCTGCAAAGGCCCTTACCTTATCCTAAGATCTGACGATAGAGTGCTTTTAGAAGTGAGACATGCTTCTTGAACATTATGTATCGCAGCAAATAGTTAAACATAGCAGGGTAATGGATGGGTCCAATAGGTGCTCTGATGTCCAAAACCACGATAATCGTTTGTCGTCTATAATTTTAGCGGTGTTCAAGTGGCTGATGAAGAGGGAAGATTTGAACTACATAGTTACGCTATACACAGACCCCGGATTTGTATTTCGCAAAATGGGATTAGTCCCTGTAATGAAAGGGATGTGTGTAGCTTCGGTGTTATTTGATTCAAACTTATGCCCCTGTGATTGGAACAGGCGTTGAGAAAGCCCTTCTTATACATGGGGTAGTAATCAGTTCTCTCCATTTGTGGACTGAGGGTTCGTTTCCCCATATCTTAGAGAAAAGTCTGTTAAGCTCTCTCACGAGAGCTTCTCCATCATCTTTAAAGAGGAAAGGTGTCAGGTCGTCTGATCCAGCCGTCTTTTGAAGTTTCAGGGCTCTGAGTTTATCTCCACTTCATGGCGGTTTCGTGCATAGTGACCTACTACTTTGGAGCAACCAGCGCTTGGGCGTGGGGGCTGTTTGAATCGTGATGTGAAGTGCTCTACCGAGCGTTTCAAGAATCTTTAAAAACTGTACATTAGTGTGACATCTACTTCTCCAATTCTTTCATTAATGTACTGTCTTTTGGGGCCAGGTGCACAGATGAATTGGAATGGTTTCACGGTGTGTCCACATCCAACAGTTGGTTTCATCTCCTTTTCACTTGACCAGACAGTTAATTAACTCGGTTGAATTAGACACACGCTCTGAAAAATGAAATTATAATCTTAAATAGTATCAAAGTGTAGTAATGCGTATGTGTTTTGGGGTTGGAAAAGTGTGTAATAAGTAAGTGTTGGAACCCGGGGGCCCAAAAGCCTCACAGAAGAAATCGTACAGTGTTATCAGTATTTATCATAAGAAGTGCCTCGTTATCGCTTTGATCACAAAACAATGATGAAAAATTTGGTGCTCACAACACACTCAATCCTATTTGCATTTGCGTTGATCGTCAACCAAATATATCCATTATTTTGAATGAATGTGTTGAAAAGAATAGAGGAGACAGAACTCGAATTTGACGTACAAGAACGTTTCAGTGCCAGCTCAAACAGCATTGAAAATAAAGTAATAAAAACCAAGAATGGTGATCATCATTTACTGCATTTCTAGGTAGCAGCAAGTTTTCAAGGGTTTTGACAATGTTCTCGTACATTCCAACGAAAAGTGGAACAAAGCAAGCTGCTAGCTAGGTGGTGTGAAGCAAAATGCTGCATTGATTGACGCAATTTTTTGTGCAGTTTGATTTTGACTACTGACAATTTAAAAGTAGGTTACATCGAAATATTCAAATAAAATTGATAATCATTGGGCCCGGTCTTCGCGACATATAATCACGTGCTCTTTTGGTGGTGGAGCAGAATTAGCCATCATGGATTGGGTTTTCTCGCTGACCACAATACATTTATCCTGGCGATCATTAGTCGGATAGTCTATTGAAGAACGATCCAGTTCCGAACGAGCATTGAGATCCATCATTTCGGTCGTGCGTAGGGTGCTGAACTCGTGTGCCAAGTCCGATTCAGTCGGATCTAAGCGAACCGAGGATGTCGGTGGAATGGCATCCGCACTTCCATAATAATAGGCGATCATACGATTGCGCTCCTCGGCAAATTCACGTTCTGCAAACTTAAGACAAAAGCATAGGAATGTGGTTGTCATGATAATTTTCAACTGCTTGTTTTGCAGCTACTTTGTTGAACGATGAATGGTTATTCTAATCCTATAAAATTTCAGCTTTTCAACCCTCACAATGGTAGTTAAAAGCCAGGAATTTACTAAAATTAAAATAAATGTGTCCGATCACCAATTGGGCGTTGATGAGAGCAGAGTATTTAGTACAAAAAGTACAGAAGTCCCCTTGCACGAGCCTTCTTGAGGAAATACGCATCTTCGGCGAGCAGTGATGTAATTTCAATCTGTGTTTTAAAAATATGATTTGATTCTTAAGAGCGATTTAAAAATGAGACGTTATGAAAGGAGCCATTGCTTGAAAAACTATAAATAAAGTAATGAAAAAAGCTAATTCCCCACCTGTTCCATTTCCCGGAGAAGTGAGCAGTGCACAGAGTAGGGAAGCAATGTGTCACAGAGGTCTTTCATTAAACTAACACAATATGGAGTCTTTTCTGCAGATAGCCCAATGACGAACCAATTAAATTCGCTTAAATACCTTCTCTAAATTGGTTAGAATTTTGAAATTGGAGACGGTTTTGTGTGGAACTCCTTATAGATGGAAAATAACTATTTGTGGAATTGAATGACAAAATTTACATGTAGCTTTCTAGCTTCACTGCGCGAATCATATTTGTTTTCTCCATCTTTCTTGTCCAAAAGAATCCGCGTTCTTCGAATTCGTTTTACGACAAATCATTCTGTGCTCGCTCCAAACGTTTCCTATTAGTTTTATTCCACAATACCCATACTGAGGAAGTCCCGCTCCGGTTTTTATCCGTTGTTTGGACCTGATCCACTGGAGGGAAGAAGTGAATCTGTGTCCATAATCATTTTAACTAGTCACCGCCAACCACCTTCTTTAGGGGAGTTTAGTGAAAATGAAAAACGGTTCTAAACACCAATCCCAATCTCCGCTGTTCGCTACGCGATGTGCCTATTACACATTTATATAGTTGTATTTGTCGGGAGAGGAAGTTACCGAAGACAAGCTTGTTCGCGATATTATGCATTCTCACAATGTGCTGTGAACAATATTCACTTTCCGAATGCCGTGTAAAGTTTTTTTGGATGTTCTTAACTGTGACGCCTCTCCCTACGGACAAACTGATCTACAAAATCACACACCATAAGTTTGTATCTTTCCTACATTTGGATTAATTATGCGTTCATTCCCAGCAGTCTCAAACAGAAATTTTCTTCTGTGGTATCGGTTTTCATTTTCCTGACTGGCACTTTTTCACTGTATTTGTTTCTTTTAATTATATTTTTAAAGTGTACCCAACTGTTCATGAGTTGGCTTAACTCAAATCACTAAATACCCTACAGAAATTAACACCGGTTGAAGCTTTTCTGGTGAAATTTTGTAGTGCAAATATTTCAATTGACGTGATAGTCTCGTTGAAAGAATAACAGGTGAACAAGGGTAGCTTCGGCTCCGTGAAAGCATTAAAGCTCGTTCAGATCCCACTTACCATTCCTCTTTTTTGCACACACAGATCAGCAGAAGCGATACCATTTTAGACCACATGTCAGTCTATTGATTGATTGCATGACCGTTTTCACTTTGCCTTAGCGGGAAGCTATTACATCACGCTCTTTCCTACCCTCTAATACTGGGTTTATTTTTGGTGGTTTTAACATCGATGTACATACATTGTATGAGAATGATAATAATAATAATATATAATTTAATATGGGGAATTCCTTATGTATAGATCAAATGAAGCGGGAACTGAAAAGCTAGGAAGCACTGGAAAGCTGTTCAGACGTGGTTGGGTTTCGTTGGCGGTGCGAATCCCACTGGGGCTCGAACTCGGGATCTCAGCGGTAAAACACAAACATGCTACGTACTCGGCCATCGGATTATACGCCCTTATTATCCATTTACATGTTCTGTCTGTGAGATCCTCAATCGACTCGGTGGATTCGCACAGATGATGAGACCAGACCAGGTCTAAACACCTGTACAGTGCTTCCTTGGTTTTCAGTTCATGTTTCATTTGCTCTGTAGATAACCAGTTCCTTGGATTAAAATAAAACAAATCTTTCATTAATATCGCGCAATAATGTGCATCGTTTTACCTCCTTTTCTATTTATTGTGATAACAAATGCACAATTGATGTCATCAAAGTAATCGATCTACAGCTCTGGGTTCGAATCACACCATCGCCTTCCGTCAAGCATATTTTTGTGAAAGATGACCGTATCTTTGTAAACTCAATAAATAAAAACTTACATAAAAGCATTTGTATAACGAGGATGCTGCGGTTGGATAAAGACTGCATGGGAAAGTACCGAAATGGAGGAATATACGCAACGATGGAGGGAATCTAATGCAAGATCACCAATTCTCCGTTTTGATCATCGTAACCATTTAGCCTTCGACACCCACGAACAAGGGTAGGTCCAAAAGCCTCTCAACTCGACCAAGTACGCCCCGATAGCGTCCGATTATGAATTTCCGGCAGCTTCAACTTGCCGGAGTAGAAGAACGAACTTCCCCCTCCCCCCCCCCCCACACACACACATACAAGGCCATAGCGTCCGCGATCAATCTGATATTTGAACTTCATTTGGCTTCATCTGACTGGTTAGAATGCGGAATGTAGTAGGCAGAGTAAAATCCCAGTATTGGCGGATAAGTTATGGTGACCAAAAACGTTTGTTAATGGTTGCTTTAAAAATCTGGAATAATGTCACTAAATACAATTCGGTACCCTGGTCTCCACGTTTTATATATACTCATAAAAAAGGACACTAAAACTTATACACAAAAACAGATTCCACATAGATGTGACAAACGAACCTTTTCAGTGGCCTCAAGAACCACAGCCAAATCAGCAGCCCGGTATTCTTGCTCGGTCTGGGCTCGTTTCAGTGCGGACATTTCCTCCTCCAGAAGCGCTTTCTTCTGTTCCGTGTGTGCAAGCATTAGTGCTTCGGTCAGTGAACGTTCCTGATTCAACATATCGGTCCATTGGTCCACTTGTTGCTTCGACAGTGTATTGATCACGACCCGTTGCATTTGATCACAAGCCTGGATGTGAGTGAAACGGTGGTGTAATGGCATTTAGTGGTGTATAATAATCAGGTTTGTGTCCCATTCAGTTGAAACGAGGTTGATAGAAATCAGAAATGAATGCAAAACCTCTGAGGGTTATCCACCAACGTTGTTTTAAACCTAGCTCCCGCTTACGTAGAAATAGCGATTTTGAATAAATTCTATTAACTTCAGCTGCTCAATGTTCATCTTTAAGCACATTTTTCAGTTTCCTCCATAGACCACACGCCTTCCTTTTCCACTGTACAATATGATAATTCTGCCAGCTTCGAGAATGGAGGTGGAAGGTCTTGGATTTGGTGAACTCTTAGCTTCGTTTCGGGCACGTGAACAGCTTCCAAACCGAATACTATGAATCGGTCATATTGCCGATTTACAAGAATGGAGCTAAGCTTATTGTGAAAACCGCTCGGCGCTTAGTCTAATCAACATCCTCTCTCCAAGCTCCTAAAAGACCTTGGAATCCGTCGATTGTTTGCCGCTTGTGAACGATGCCCACTTGGGAACCAGGTTGGATTTTTAGACCCGGTCGGGATTTCAGCAACTACTGTTCGTCGAATTCCGGAACATAAACGTTCCTTTTATAGAACCACGACTGCTATCTTCCTAGATCCGAAAGCGGTTTTCGACGCACTCAAACGTCCTATACTGGCCCCACTTGAAGAGTGTGCCTAAGAAGGTTACTAGCCGGAACCGGATCCGAGCTTACGGCACTTTTCCCCCAAGTTCATCACAAAAGGCACTGTTCCTCAAACTTACCGTCTGGCTGTCCTTTTCTATTCAACTTTTCATTGAAAGTGAATGTGGAACCTGCTCTGTCTCTATAGCAGAAGAGCCGCAGTGCTAGGTTCTCTGGAGAGGTTTATTTGCTTTGGATTATCCATATCATTGTGAAGTGAAGATCCAGCCATGCAATTTGGAAGTTTTTCTGCATGGTTTGAATGATACGCTAACTTTGCTAGACATGCGCTTCACACAGTCAAAATCCATGGATCCGGCTCCTAAACGATATGGGTAAGTAATAGATATTTAGGCTGCTAAATCTCACCTGACCTGTCGACACGTATACAGGTTAGTGTCTACCAACGGGGGAATTTTCCGACACTTTCATGACACTTGGCTGTCTGTAAAGGATCGAGTGTACGTGACAGCAGTTCAGTTGGCGCTGCCAGTGGCACAGAGATTTGTCCGTTGACTAAACAGTCCGTTGATAGGCTACCGTGGATTGAACGACAGCAAAGCTGTCCACCATCCGTGTTGGGTTGGTGTTGGAGCAGGAACCACGAGTCATGGCGTGCAAATCGCGCTGGTAATTGCTACTAAACCATTGCATCACCACCACCATAAACAGCACCCGGATGTAACCAAAAAGCGTTCACATGCACTGGCTTTGGTTGCAATAATTCAGCAAAGATGACTAGCAATTATACATGCCTCAAGGTAAAACGTTTATCCAACTTTAAAAAAGGAAAATGATGTTCTTCAAACTTTGTTCAGCTACTTAATTATATTGCATATTTCGTTGTTTTGACTGGTTCTTGTTTAAGAAAACTAACCTGACCAGTGTACTTCAGCTCCACTAGGGAGTTGGCCTTTTCCTGTGACCATATAAATTGGCACCCGACTTCAACGACCAAACTGAGGGGAATGAAGTAGTACTAATAGTAATATGCACTGTACTTGGAAAGTGAACCATGCAATACGAATTCGGGATTAGTAATCACGAACTAGATCACGCAAGCACTGGACCGCACTGGCACTAGCGCTCAATATCCCACGTAACTGAGATGCAAGGAAGAGGCCACCGGAGTAGTAGTTCGTTTATTGGAAGAAATAATGGGAATTAAATAATATGTACAAAGTGGGCTCATTGGTTATCCGGGCTTCTCCCAATCGCGTTCCAGTATTGCTTGCATCGTTCTGTTTCTGTCTGAGCCGCACAGTCTCTGATTGGCCAGTACAATCTACTTATGGCTTGTAGTCAGAAGCAGTGACACGTACGCACTTTATTGACGTCACCTGTGAAGTTTGATTGATCACAGTAGTCCAAATACTGTAACGCGTCGCTCCAGGGTACGCGTCATCTCGTAGGCCCGGATCACCACATCAACACTCACAAAGATGGTATTAGTGTTACTGGTACGGCTGATTGGTGACATTGAAATAATACAACTCACTCACTAATCGTCAGTAGTATACGAATAGCTGATGTGAATCTGCTCTGATCTGCTGTTTTGACTGCGTCCCACTGAACACAATAAACTGGACACAAAGAGACTACATGCCCATCCGATTGATTGGGTGTGTGTAGTCAAGCCACAAAAAGTAGGGGGTATTCAGAAAAACTTATCTATTTGTGTGGATTAAGTCCAGTCACAAATTTCGGACCATTTTTCTGTGTTTTGCTCGCGGATCTTTCGATAAGTCCTCGATGTGTGCGTGTGAATCCATACAGTGCTTTTACGTTGCGTTCCTTGGGCTATGTGCGAGTGATCTCAACACACGTAAGTTAAAGGCTGGTTTGTGTTGCATTGTATTGTGCGGTATTGTATTGCGTAACTTCTGTAAAACACAGAAGCGTACATTTCTGTGCCCGAACAAATTTTACACACTCGTCAACCGTCACATTGACTCCACCTCATTTCATACGGAAGCAGAGGAATGACGTTGGTACTCAGCGATCATAGCAATAGCTCATGGTGCAAGAGCAAGGCTTAGTTCACTTGTGACCATTGATTAGTTTCTGAGTGTACATGTGCATCATAAGGAACAAGAGAACTCGGGTACAGGTTCTATACGTTATCGTGTACGTTAGGATTAAAAAGGTGCAGACGGATGGTAATACGAGTGTATTAATTTATCGTACAATAATGGGTGATTAGTGTCTGTGCCAATTCTTTATCGCAAAGGAAACAGACCACGTTTTGTGGCAATGTTCACAAATAAAGCTTTTGCGGGAATCCGGGAAACGCGACTGATAAATAAATATCAGTACAATAACTGAATAAAAATACATGTTTCTGGAATCCCGAGACATTTGCCTAAGTACTGATTGACGAATAGTAGTTGATCGATGCATTGTTGTGGTGTACATGAAATAGAGGATGATAAATGTCGTCAGAAACAAAACACGAACTGACAAAGTTCGAAATCCGGTATGTTCGATTGAACCGGGATAGTTACCAACAGTGTCAATCCATCGAGCTAACTGAGGATGGAACTCTGAATCTCACCACAAATCTACTACCGGGCGGGTGATTTGGAACACAATAATTTGTTTGGATTTTTTTTGTGAATTGATCAGCACACCATTTCAAAAACTCTCCACTGGTTAATCTCGCTTTACACCAGTGTGCGTGGTTGTCGACAGAACTGACTGCGTCGTCAGTTCCCAATGTTAAGGACTACTCTTTTTGATTGGACCTGGGGCCTAGTTTTTAAGTGCCATTTTTCGCAAACTTCATCATATTTGACGTGGACAACTGGGACTACATCAGACGTGTTTTGTACGGAATTAGGATTTTGTTCTCCTCAGTATTTTTGCTTTTCAAATATGCATATATATATCAGTTATTTCTAACTGAGGGATAGGTCTTACTATCTGAGAAGAGTATTTGAACATCTGAAGAGAAACTATCAAAGATATTGAACTTTGAAGAGATAAAACCGCAAAGGTCCGCTGCAATCCAATAAATATTTTCTAA